AGCCGTGATTGCACCACCGCACTTCAGCCTGGGCAAGAAGAAAACCCGATCCAAAAAAATAAATAAAAAGAAATAAAATATTAAAGAAGATATACAAATGGCCAACAAGCACATGAAAATAAGTTCAACATTATTAGTCATTAGGGAAATGCAAACCAAAACCACAGTGAGATTCCACTTCACACCACTTTTACCATTTTTATAGTAAAAATAAACACCATTTTCATACAGTAAGCTTTAGTTTTATAAATATTAAGATGAGTATTTAGTATATTAAATGATGTAGTAAATCAATCTATTTACTCTCTGCCTGGCAACAGAGTTCTTAAAAACACTTTAGGAGATTTTGGGCTGAGACAATGGGGTTTTCTAAATATACAATCATGTCATCTGCAAACAGGGACAATTTGACTTCTTCTTTTCTAACTGAATACCCTTGATTTCTTTCTCTTGCCTGATTGCCCTAGCAGAACTTCCAACACTATGTTGAATAGGGTGATGGAGAGGGCATCCCCTGTCTTGTGCCAGTTTTCAAGGGATTTTTCCAGTTTTTGCCCATTCAGTATGAATATTGGCTGTGGGGTTTGTCATAAATAGCTCTTATTATTTTGAGATACGTTCCATCATAAACCCCAAATTTATTGGAGCGTTTTAGCATGAAGGGCTGTTGAATTTTGTCAAAGGTCTTTTCTGCATCTATTGAGATAATCATGTGGTTTTTGTCTTTGGTTCTGTTTATATCCTGGATTACGTTTATTGATTTGTTATTCAACCAGCCTTGATCTCCAGGGATGAAGCCTACTTCATCATGTAGATAAGCTTTTTGATGTGCTGCTGGATCCGGTTTGCCAGTAATTTTATTGAGGATTTTTTGCCGCATCGTGTACATCAGGGATATTGGTCTAAAATTCTCCTTTTTTGTTGTGTCTCTGCCAGGCTTTGGTTCAGGATGATGTTGGCCTCCTTAAGCTGATAAGAAACTTCAGCAAAGTCTCAGGATACAAATTAATGGTGAAAAATCACAAGCATTCTTATACACACCAGTACAGACAAAACAGAGAGCCAAATCATGAGCGAACCCCATTCACAACTGCTCAAAGAGAATAAAATACCTAGAAATCCACTTACAAGGGATGTAAAGGACCTCTTCAAGGAGAACTACAAACCAACTGCTCAGTGAAATAAAAGAGGACACAACAATGGAGAACATACCATGCTCATGGATAGGAGAATCAATTCGTGAAAATGGCCCATATTGCCCAGGTAATTTTATAGATTCAATGCCATCCTCATCAAGATACCAATGAGTTTCTTCACAGAATTGGAAAAACTCTTAAGTTCATATGGAACCGAAAAAGAGCCTGCATCTCCAAGACAATCCTAAAGTCAAAGAACAAGCTGGAGGCATCACGCTACCTGACTTCAGACTATACTAAAGGCTACAGTAACAAATCAGCATGGTACTGGTACCAAAACAGAGATATAGACCAATGAACAGAACAGAGTCCTCAGAAATAATACCACACATCTACACCCATCTGATCTTTGACAAACCGATGAAAAACAAGAAATGGGAAAGAATCCCTATTTAATAATGGTGATGGGGATAATTGCTAGCCATAAGTAGAAAGCTGAACTGGATCCTTTCCTTACTCCTTATATGAAAATTAATTCAAGATGGATTAGAGACTTAAATGTTAGATCTAATCCATAAAAACCCTAGAAGAAAACTAGGTCAATACCATCCAGGACATAGGCATGGGCAAGGACTTCATGTCTGAAACACCAAAAGCAACAGCAACAAAAGCCAAATTAACAAATGGGATCTAATTAAACTAAAGAGCTTCTGCACAGCAAAAGAACTACCATCAGAGTGACAGGCCAACCTACAGAATGGGAGAAACATTTTTGCAATCTACTCATCTGACCAACGGCTAATATCCAGACCTACAAGAATCAATAAATTTACAAGAAAAAAACAACACCCCCCTCAAAAGTGGGCAAAAGGATATGAACAGACATTTCCAAAAGAGACCTGCATACAGCCAACCGACCATGAAAAAAGCTCATCATCACTGGGCCATCAGAGAAATGCAAATCAAAACCACATGAGATACCATCTCACACCAGTTAGAATGGCAATCATTAAAAAGTCAGGAACAACAGGTGCTGGAGAGGATGTGGAGGAATAGGAACCACTTTTACACTGTTGGTGGGATTGTAAACTAGTTCACCATTATGGAAAATATGGAAAACAGTATGGCGATTCCTCAAGGATCTAGACTAGAAGTACCATATGAACCCAGCCATCCCATTACTGGGTATATCCCAAAGGATTATAATCATGCTGCTATAAAGACACATGCACACGTTATGTTTATTGCGGCACTATTCACATAGCCAAAGCTTGGAATCAACCCAATGTCCATCAGTGACAGACTGGATTAAGAAGTGCGGCACATATACACCATGGAAACTATTGCCAGCCCATAAAAGGGATGAGTTTGTGTCCTTTGTAGGGACATGGATGCAGCTGGAAACCATTATTCTAGCAAACTATCGCAGAACAGAAAACAACAACCCGCACGTTCTCACTCATAGGTGGGAAACTGAAACATGAGATCACTTGGACTCGGAAGGGGAACATCACACCCTGGGCCTATCACGGGGGAGTGGGGAGGGGGAGGGATGCCTTGGGAGTTATACCTGATGTAAATGATGAGTTGATGGGTGCTGACGAGTTGATGGTGCAGCACACCAACATGGCACAAGTATACATATGTAAAACCCTTACACATTATGCACATGAACTTAAAGTATAATAATAACAAAAAAAGAAGAAGAAGAAGAAGAAGAAAAAAAAACAACTTTAATTTGTCCAGGCACAGTGGCTCACGCCTGTAATCCCAACACTTTGGGAGGTCAAGGTGGATCGGTGGATCACGAGGTCAGGAATTCGAGACCAGCCTGGCCAATATGGTGAAATCTGACTCTACTGAAAATACAAAAATTAGCTGGGTATGGCAGCAAGTGCCTGTATTCCCAGCTGCTTGGGATGCTGAGGCAGGAAAATCGTTTGAACCTGGGAGGCAGAGGCTGCAGTGAGCCAGAACTGTGCCACTGCGCTCCAGCCTAGGCGACAGAGCAATACTCCATCTCAAAAAAAAACAAAAAACAAAAAACAAAAAATTAACACTTAAAATTGATTGTTCTCTCCAGTTTAAGAGGTTATTGTCTAGGATGGCTAGAACAAAAAAAAAATAGAAAAGAAAAGAAACAAAGCGGATAATAACAAATAGTGACAAAGATGTGAAAAAATTAGAACCTTTGTACATGAATGTGGTATTGTAAAATGGTGCACAGTTTGGATAACAGTCTAACAATTCCTGAAAAGCTCAAACATAGTTACTATATGACGCAACAATTTTACTCCTGGGCATATAGCTAAAAAAAATTAAAACAAATCCACACAAAAATCCTGTAAAAAAATGTTTATACTAGGATTTTTCATAAAAGTCAAAAAGTGAAAACAAACTCAACTGTCCATCGACTGATGAATGAATCAAGAAAATTTGGTATCTCCATAAGATAGAATACTATTCAGCCATAAAAACAATAAAGACTGCTACAACATGAATCAATCTTAAAAATATTACAGTAAATGAAAGAAACCAGTCACAAAAGATCATACACTCTAAAAATATTCCCTTTCACCTTAAAATTCTGTGACTGTATAATAACAGTATTCATATTATTAAGGACCAAAAATGTCTCTTACTGAAATCATGCTTTCTTTTAATAAATATAAGAAAAGTAGAATTTGACAGAAATTTCAGTATAGAGAAAAGGAGAGAGAAACCAACATCAAAGTAGAGGCCAAAATTACACAGGCTATGTCTGCTTTTCAGTGACAGTATGTAGAAATTTCAATGGTATCAGGATTCATACACTTACATCCTAATAATATGAACAAGGTGTTGACCTGTTTAGCACTGTCAAAAATTTGAGCCTTGTTATTATAACATATATTCAGATTACTTACTTTATGACTCAAAATTTTTCCAGGTTCACATTTTGTTTGAAATGAACATGCCAAAGTTCAAAAGCTTATGAATTCATAACTGAAAACACGGCAATATGAGAAATCAAATATATATATATTGGAGAAAGGATCATGACTCTAATCATCTAATCATCATATAATTACTTTGTATAAACAAATGAGAAATCTAAAAATGCATTACGCTTGCTAAATACTATACTCACGCAGTTATTTTTATATATAATACATTCATTCATAAATCAAGTAGCTTAAATTAGATCAGTCTACTTATCATTCTTAGTTTATCCTAATGTTAATATCCAAAACCAACTTTCTTCCCAATTCTTCCTATGTTTGTATTTTAGTGATTATATTATATTGTATATGATCTTTTATATATAACATATATGTGAATATGTGACTAAGATTAAAATATATGGATGGCAATAAATGTCATCACTTAGTTCATTTACTTTGGTCAGGAAAATCTTTCAGTGAGAAGACTGATTTGCTTATACACTGAAACATTTAAAAACACCAACAAATCTAAAAATGTCCATATAAAATATTAACCATAGGAAAAAAAATTTTTAAATATACCTTCTTCGAGGATGGGTCGTGGGATAACAAATGGAATCTCCTGCAGAGGTTCCATGTACTTGTGCCCAGCACTAATAATCTTTATTTGAGGCAAACAGAGGACAAGTGTTCCTGGCATACTGGTTTGTCCATGGTACCAACTTCTCACTGTTCCAGGAATGTCACCAGATATAATTGTACTTGGGGAAGGCAGGCTATCATTTGGAATAAACACACAACAAGATTGTACTTCAAGCTAGAAAAGAAAAGCAGAATTAAAATATTTGGATCAGACTAAATATACCTTCAAACACCTAATATCTTCACCAGAATAAACAACCAAAAAAGTAAACGTTCCATATTTATGACTTATTTGATGACTTATCTTTATGACTTATTTTCACTAATGAATATAAAAAATACTTGAAAAGGTACTGTTTACTTTTGTTATACACTCGATACAAAATGCCCAGTGACAAGAGATGATCTGCCCTTCCACATAGTCTTTTCCAAGACACAAGACTGAGTTAGAAAATGTGCTGGCCAAAGAAGATCAGAAATCCCTCCTTCTTTTGCAGTTTATTAGAAAATTTTGTTAACACCAGATAAGGCCTAGAACTACCTAGCAATTTATTGCTGTTACTTTTTTTAAAAAGGGCTATTTTTATGTGAATTTAGTTCTTCCGTTTTTACTTCACAGACTAGAATATAAGAAAAAAATGTTTAAAACATTCAATTTATAATACTAGACAACCATTAAAAAACATGTTTATATCACATACTTTCACTTTTTATATACAATGATTCAAGTATACATACATATATCAGATTTATTATACATAAACAAATACACGATAATAGGAGAAATCAGAAGACTTAAAAATCAGAGCATTATTTCTTGTTTTTTTCATTCTTCAAATTACTTAAATTATAATTTCATGTATTATCTTAAAGCTCTCCTATCTCCAGTAGAGTTACATTAAGTTGCCAGGACCTTAAAGATTAAGATAAAGAGACAAAGTAAGCCCAACCCCAAAACTGAATTCATCATGACTTCTTAATTCAGAAGCAATGTAGATTAAAGTCTATTAGTCTTAGCGGTGCTTATAAAGTAGTACTGTGTGTCTCATTATCCAATTGCTGCAACAGCCTACAATGCTTAAGTTATTGAGAAAATACAAACTATGACTGGTTGATTTCCTACAAAATATTTCACACAAAAAGATGTTATCTGGAGGTGTAATACAAAATATTTTTTTTAATTCATAAATTCTTGGATATTCAAAGAAACTATATTAGCAAAAAGACTACATTTTTAAAAGATAACAGCAATATCTCTTCTCTTGGGCCTAATATACTACTCTGGTGAGAGCATGATGATATGTAGCAGGTTTGGAATTCCTTGATACGATAAATAATTTGCCAACCTATAAATAAACAAACCTGTTCGTCTTTGCTTCACATTTTGGGGCGTGGACAAACTGATGGATTCAGTGACGAAAAATACAGATAAAATTTTGCAAAAATAAGTGCATTGGTTCATGAAGCATGAGCTCATTTTAGTTCTAAAATCTTATCCTGTAGATTAGATAAAGTACATATGTGTTAATATATGTACTTAAGATCAGAATGTAGTTTATTTATTCTGAAATAGAAGTCTACATTGTCTCAGGTAACTTACAATTATGCTTTAAAATATTTAACATAATTCACTAGTAATTTTCAGTTGCACAATTTAAAATGGCACATTAAAAGCATAGCCTTTATTAATTCAGGCTAAAAGGTCAAAATATGAAGTGTCAGTATTTAACACTTCATGTAGGTATTGATATTACAGTGAAAAATGCTTTCAATAATGTGAGGTAATTAGTTTAGTATGCTACCATACACATCCACATGCATACAAATCCTTAGGAACAAATTGAAATCATGCCAAAATTTCCAAAATCATAAAACATAAAATTTCACTAATTTAAAAATCAATTATTTCATCAAGTGTAAACAATGTGAGCAATGCAAACAGAATCAACACTACAGTAGCATCAGATATACAACAACTCTAAAATAAACTTTCTAAAATATATTTTGTGAGAATTCCTTTAATGATAAGAATATAATTAAAATTACTCAAAATTATTATGTTATATCTATTACATATACTAAAACTATCATATAAATCTTTTTACACTTTTAAAATAACTGTTAAACTGTATGTATAAAATTGTGGTTTTAATGTAAAATGTTGAGTGATTTATATTACTGAATATAAATCTGCAACAGTAAATTCTGAATTAATGTAAGGATCTGACAATCCAAGGGAAAGAAAATGAAGTAATCTGCCAGTAAGAAGTCCTCAAGCTGGGGGTCAGATCATGTTCATGGAAACCATCTGGTTGGGACCCTCTGAGCCACACCAAACACAAATGATCTTTTAAAAAAATATCCTATTCATGAATGCATCACAGCTGCACTGAGTGTTACTTCATTTTTCCATGGCAACATCCTTTCTGTTTCAAAGATCTTGTTTCAGTTTTGGTAGCAACGTGTTCTTTTGCCAATACTGAACACATTCATGTGCTAAAGTGAAGGGATTATTACAAATTCTTGAAGTGGAACCACCTCTATTTTGATTCCTACTGGGTCAAAGGCTACATATCTAAGTATCATATACTGAAGATAAACCAATAAAGTAAAAATTATTTGTTATTCTTATTTTAATAAATGAAATGATTGCAATGCATTATTTTCCCTGATGTTTCTAGTTTATGTGCTATTTGAAAGATACATGCCTTTGTAAGTTCTTAACTCTATATGTGAGGTTTCAGAAACTTAGATTTTTCTCTTTTATGTGCTCTATAACTGTGATCCCAATTCAGTTAAAAAGTAGAGACTAAGATAGGTTTGATTTACCCATTAATCTGAAAATCTTAATTAGCTACTGCCCATCATATAAAGCACTTTATAGATAAATGCTTTGAAATGTTGTGCCACAATTTCTTCCCTATTCAATAACATTACTATTTCCTATTCCCAAATAACATACTTATTTTTATTTACAACTTGAAAATGTAATGATAATTATATTTTTCATAATTTCTACAGTACCAAATATTCTCTATATAAATGTATGTTACTCTTCAGGAAAGAGTTTCAAATAAAAAACAAAAATAAAGGAACATTGTATGGTGCATTTCATTTACTTTTTCTCTCCTTTATTCATGTACTCTCTAATATCTATCATGAACTGACCTGGAAGTCAGGAATACAGAGACAAAAGACATAGTCCCAGCTCTAAAAAAGCTTAAACAACATCACTTTCAAGTATTAATATCCTTACGGAATTCTCACTAGAACATAAGCTTAATGAAGTCAAACATTTGCTTATTTTGTACACTATATAGTTTCTGTACATTGTACAGTGGTGCATGTACTATGTACTCAATAAATAATTGTTAAACAAGTAGAAACAATTAAACAATTATTTTCATCAGATGTGGTAATGAAAATAACTGCTTCATGCATGTTGTTCACCATTTCATTCCAGAGGCAACCTCTAAGGTGATTAATAAAACTGATCTGTTAACAAGATGATTCAACACAGTTGTAGGATCTTCGATAAGCTATTTAATCTCTCCGTGACTTCAGTTTCCTCATCTGTAAATGGGGAACTCATAGCATTGATACATACATTCAATACAGTGTTACCTAAACATTTGCTAAAGAAATAAAGTCAACAAACAACACCAAGACTCTCCTATATGTGAGATCTCATATATTATTAGCCTCCATAGATTTACAAAAGCTGTTCACAGTGTATTTATTTTCAAATACTGTTGCTTATGGTTTAACTGTCTATGTATACAGAGACCACTAAAATAAGTAGTATCCTATTTGCACTATAGCAAATACATAAACTATAATCCAAATCACAGTTTTCCTATTTGATAAATTTTCAGTGCATCATGAAAATATTTTGGATATCATCATATGTAGTAGAAATTTAAATACAACCAATTTGGGGCCATAGATTAAAACCCTACAGTTGGTTGTCTTGGTTGTCATCCTTCCCACAGTAAGTGTTATAAATCTTCACACTTTTTCCATAAAAATCTCGTCAAGGGAAGACACTAAAAATTCCTAGATTTGAATTCCAGACTTCCTCCTAACAAACTGCCATGCAATGCCTGTCACTTGTTCAATGCCTATAAATAAGAATGTGGGCCTGTGTGCAAAATTTGTAAGGATTAAATATAAAATCTTACTTTTATAATTAGCATGATTGATAGTTGATCTCTCTGGCCTAAAATGTCTACTCCTATTTAATTCTGAAAATAAAGGCCAAGGAGTTTACTGGATACCAGGAAATCAAGTAGCATGATTTTTTTCATCACTAGTCATGCTCTAGATGTAACTTCCTAGAAGAGAGAATTCAACTGGCCCAGCTTAACTATCTTATGCTGCTTGAGACACCTTGCCTGACATTCTCATCAAAATAACACAGAATGTGGGAAGTAGATCCCTAAAGGAATAACAAAGCATTATTACCAAAAGAAAGAGACCAGAATGCTTGGTACTGAAATTAAAAATGCCATTAAACTCAGAAGACTTCAGTCCATTCAGAAGACTTCAGAGAGTATAAAAAAAAAAAAAAGAAAGAAAAAGAAAAGAAAAGAAAATGCTAGTAAATGTCAAAGGACAGCAAGATGAACTTTGATGTAAATGACAAAAAAAAAAAAAAAAAAAAAAAAAAAAAAAAGCTAAGTCTGGCAATAAGCAGAGAAATATTTTCCTAGAAAGGAGTAAATTCTAGCCAGCACATTTCTATTTTATCAACTATATACTATTGCCAATTATGTGCTTCTGGAATAAAAACATAGCTTTAATAGAATCTTTGTTAATGAGCAGGTACAGAAAACTTGGAAAGAACAGGTGAACTTATGCTAATCTATTGTTAAAAGGCTCCCAAAGTTCATATATTTTTATTTTTTTAATTTTTATTTTTGAGACAGAGTCTCACTCTGTCACCCAGGCTGGACTGCAGTGGCACAATCTCAGCTCCCTGTAACCTCCACCTCCCGGGTTCACGCTATTCTCCTGCCTCAGCCTCCAGAGTAGCTGGGACTACGGGTAGGCACCACTATGCCCAGCTAATTTTTGTTTTTTAGTAGAGACAGGCTTTCACCATGTTAGCCATGCTGGTCTTGAACTCCTAACTTCAAGTCGTCTGCCTGCATAGGTCTTTCAAAGTGCAGGGAT